ACACACACACACAAGTCTTCTGCTACTTTCATGTTATTTTGGCGGGATGGCAAATAACCATTTTCCAAAATCTACACCAGTGTGAGAGTTTGTGATAGTTTTGCTGTTGTTAAACATGTACCCCTATGACTTTAATTCATCAAGACTTTTCTTCATTTTTGGATTCTTCTTTCCATTGGAGGCATGCGCGAAAATAACATTTTCTTCCCAAATTCAATCTAACACGTGGTGAGCAATTGATATATGATAGCAATTTCAGGGGTGCAGTATTCCTTTAATGATTCGTACCTTCAGTATCTTTGCAAGAGCTGTATGTCCACCAAAGTGTAACCTCCTGTGTCTTCCATGTGTCCCCAGGGGTGGCGAGCTGCATCCTGCTGTTTGAGAAGATCATCCCCTTCCTCTCTGGAAAGAGCACCATTGGGCTGGAGGTGCCTGCTGTCCAGAAACAGAAGAAGACACAGTAGCAGCAGTGACGTGAGGACAAGCCAGGACACATGTTGTGTCTTAAACATTTTATCCCATGTGTCAGGGTGGATAATACCAGCATACATTTTTTTCCGTTTTGTCATCAACACCCATGATGACAAAAAATGCACAACACATGAAACCTTTGGGCTGGTGTTTGTCATCATAACACAATGAGGCTTAGTGCTTCTGGAGGGTAACAACTAAGCTGGATTTGACTGGCAAACACAGAAGTGGGTTCAGCTCTTCATGGGCAAATTCACACAAAATCGGATTTGAATACACAGAAAATATGATCCATAATACTGCAGCACATGACTGACAATCATCACGCTTTTAGGTTTTCTTCAGTATCAAAGAAATCCACTGATAGTTGTCAGTACATCCGTGAGTACAAAGCAAACAGGAGCTGCTAATATCTTATTCAACATGATTTTAATGTTACTAATGGGACACAGCGAACAACTCTGACTGTCTGAATTATATTACAAACTATTTAAGGTGCCCAATTATATGGATATCACAGTGCTGACAGTATGTTGAGGTCCTAACTTTAACTTCACTTTGACTTAAAACTGACATTTTAATAGTTCTCATAACAGACCCAAGGTTATGTAAGCTAATAAATATACATGCACTTATTTATTTTCAAATGTTTTTCACATGAAGGCTGTCAAAGAGCACAACACTATAGAAGCACATGTCACAGAGTGTTACTTGTTCTGTAATTGTGACTGTATTTCACTGCTACTATCACTGCCTTACTTTAGACTGCACCTAATAACACGTAAAGACAGTCAGAAGCACTTAGGTGGCATAAAAACATTGAAACTTTGAATGCACACAAATTAACCAACGTCCATGCAGAGAAGGAAGAATATAAGTGGTTAATATGCAGATAGGTGCAACATTACAGCCAGTTAGGCTCTGTGCACTTTGGTAGATTTATGAGCCCTTTTTATTGTCACTGCATTTAATTTATCACTGCACCAGCTGGGACAGAAGACATCTCAATGCCAAACGGTTCAAGTGATATTCCTGAACAAATGTATAAATACACTATCCACACCATGACTGTGTTATGTGTGGCAAAATAACTAATCGTGACATACTTTACTTACTAATCTTTTATGTCCAAAAAACAGGGCTTTGAACAGAGTTGAAGTAAATTAGAGGTGAAGGGAAACGGTGGTTTGTTTTAGTTTGATTAATGTAGGTCTGCTTTGCACAAATGTTAAAGGATTATAATTTCAGATGTTTGTAATGACACATGACAACATGTTTCTGGAACACTTGTAAACATGGGAACTGGATTTAACGTTTTTTCCTCTCAAGGTTAGATGACCAAAGCTTTAACCGTCTGTTCAATCCTTACGTCTTCCTGCATAATTCGTGTTCGACTATGTTAAACTGATCATTTACTGTTAAGTATACTAATGCTGGATAATGTTGGACTTTTCTCTGTGAGCCAAGGACAAATTAATGTACATCTGAAATACCTCTACAGTCTGGGTGATGATAGTACGCAACATTTGTATGATTTTTTTTTTAAACCAAGAATGTGAAACATCAGTTTTTCTACTACATTTCTGTCTCACTGTCAGCAAAACGTACAGTATATTTTTAGATGACATGTTTTGTATAGTGTTATTTAAATGCATTTGTAATATCTTGTGACATACTTTGATTAAAAACATTCTTTTTTTTTAAAAGTGACACTTTTTATAGTTGTCTTTTATTTATTTATGAAGCTTGTGAATTTTGCAACTCAGCTTCGAATGAAACACTTAAAAAAAACAGTGAATGTAATTTTATCAACAAAACCACAAAGCACGGACCAAATTACAGTTGATCTCATTTGTCCTCTCAGAGGTTTGGATAATCCCCAAAAGAAAAAGCCCATAAAACCCTCTCCACCCCCCGAGTGTTCCCTGGTACTTTGGCCTGCATGATATCTGTTACACAACCTGACCTTTGTGCCCTCGCCTCCTCCCCTCTTTCTTCTTTTGGCTCATGTCTGACTCAGCTAAATGCCAAACGAAAAGAGCTTTTCTGTTCACTCGTCAGCTACATATGACAAACATGAGACTGACTCCACATGGCTGACTGACAGGAACACACATCTTGGGTTTAGGCAACAAAAGCAGGTGGTTAGGTGTAGGCAACAAAAACATGTGGTTAGGTTTAGGCAACAAAAGCAGGTGGTTATGTTTAGGCAACAAAGACACGTGGTTGGGTTTAGGCAACAAAAGCAGGTGGTTAGGTTTAGGCAACAAAGACACGTGGTTAGGTTTAGGCAACAAAGACACAGTTAGGTTTAGGCAACAAAAACACATGGTTAGGTTTAGGCAACAAAGACACAGTTAGGTTTAGGCAACAAAAACACATGGTTAGGTTTAGGCAACAAAAATGTGGTTAGGTTTAGGCAAGAAAAACATATGGTTTGGTTTAGGAGAAAAGAACAGAGTTTGGCTTTAGAATCTTACGCAAACCGCTCTCTTCGGGTGAAAGTTAGTGTTTGTTGGACCCATCCATCACCCCTTCAACCCGCCCCAGTGAGACTTTTGCTGCCTTTACTTTCATCCTTGTCCTGCCATGTTTCCGCCAGGCTTCGCTGAACTAAAACGGCAACTGGCCACATATCATGCTGACATTCAAGGACACCTGTTTTTGTTGGTTCCTGACGCAGGAAGTCACTACCAAGCGCAGGATTTCAGTGACGTCGGAGTGAGACCGGGCTCATATTACACATCATGAATTTCCATTATCATTGGAGCAAATTTTATGCATTGCCCTTTGACTCTTCGGCAGCAGCAGTTTTCTTTATAAGATCAGAAATACTAAACACATCAGCAAGGCAACTGTTTGTCGGGCCGTAAGAAAAGTGTCTCTGGCTCTGAAAAGACTTTTGCCTATTTTTGTGGTTTTCCGTGGGCATATATCAGAAAGGATCATCAAAGAGGAATTCCACAGAATTGCAGGAATGTCAGTGTTAATAAGAAATTAATCTACTTGGATACATTATGCAATGATTTATGAATACTTTTCATATATTTAAAGATTCCGCGGTGTATTTGGCTTCATTTATTGGACTCACATCACCATCATAGCTCCATCTGAGAATAAAGGAGATTACGAGAATCGAAAGTCATTTCACAGCAATTCAGCGATTCAGTTAACGTAGACCATATTACAAGAATGATGTATAAGCAAAACCCTTACCAGTCTTTACAATATTTTTGTGTTTGATTTTAAATTGCTGCCCAGTGTGTTTGGGTCCCATCAGATCACCAGCTGAATAAGAGGATATAGCAAATTATATTAAAATATATGAACATTGTTAACATATAAAAATGTATACTTTCTGTATATTAGACACACATTCACGCATCACATTACATAACGTCACTTAACATTACTTACTAACATGCTTTGCAATCTTTTCCCATCACACCTCATGCTGTTTAGCTGCAGCTGCTGTATTAGATTTGTTTTTTGGGGTTTTCTTTTGAAAGACACGTTCAAAGTCTACATACGCATTATCATTAAAATCTCCAAAGCAGTTGGGGTGAAATTAGTGCCAACACACAACTCACAAAGGCTTTCTGCCAGTCATGTCATCTGCACTCCAAGGATGATGGCCTTTGGTCCTCACAGTGAACGCGCTTCCCTCAGGCTGAACATACTCAGAAATGACTCAGCTAATTCTGATCAGCTGTTCTGGAACCAAGTATCCCAGCTCTGGCTCAGTCAACTCAGAGATCAGGATTAGGCTCAGAGTTTGTTGAGCCTGCATTCTGAAATTATTATTATATACCTGATAAGCAGTTTTTAAAATATTACCTTTATTATATCACTGTCAGTACAGAGACAAAAGAATGACAGTAGCTGGGATATTTTATCCACAGTAGCCAATTGATCTGAATCTCCACCTGTGTGTAATGTCACAGGGCGTGCAGCCAAAAAAAACACATCTCCCTCCAGTAGAAGCGTCCTGCTGTCCCGTGTTAAAAGAAAATAATCCATATTGTGGCCACACTTACATATGTTGCCTCACGGAAACTAATTTAATACAGTCAGCAGCACTTTTGCTATAGCTAAAGAGTGCACTTTCTGGTCATGCTACAGTGATGTCACTCTCAAAAAAAAAGGAGAGAGAGACAATGGCAAGCCGGCAGGGCCCTTCTTGTGTGGGCTGTATTGTTAATATGCCAGTTGAGGATGGCCATGACTACTGCGTGTTATGTTTGGGAGCAGTGGCTGCTCGTGATAATGCGGCTTCATGCAGAGACTGCTTCTGCATGTCTGCTAGGCAAAGGGAGGCCCGTTGCCATTCATTTGGCGGACGTCCACCAGCCCCCTCTCAGGGCCCCCAGTCAGCTAAGCACCCTCGGTCAAGTAGTGGGGGACGGAGACCCATCGGGGCGCTCCTCCACCTCCACTATTACAGTATCAATAGAGGGTGAGTGGACTGTGTCACATAGGAACTTCCCTGCTCCTGGGCCCTCTGCTGGGTTGGATAGGAGTCCCTAATCCCCTGGGTCGGAGGAGGAGCTAGACATTCTTGGCCTTGGGCCCATAGATGATGATGAGTTGGCCTCAGAGGGGCAGCAGGTGCAGCAGTCACCTCTCCTTTAGGAATTTATTGGCCAGGCCGCTTTGGCTCTAGGGCTTGACCTGCAAACTGGTCAGGGTACCGACCCTTCCCGTTTTGACGATGAAACAGGGGGGCGACCCGCATGGTTCCTTGTGCCTCTCCTTTCTGATTTCGAGGAAGTGGTCAGGAGTCGATTTGCAACACCGACAGCAGGGGCACGCTGGTAGGGGCTCTGTCGTAGTATGGCTGCAGTTGCCCCCGGTGGATCAGGCTTTGGTTGCCTTGGTGGCTCTGTCAAGGTCCCTCCTGGGCAAGGCGAACTGCCCTAGTAGAAACTGCAAGGTAGGGGCGTCGGTGGCTTAGTGGTAGAGCAGGCGCCCCATGTACAAGGCTGTCGCCGCAGCTGCCCGGTTCAACTCCAGCCTGTGGGCGTTTGCTGCATGTCACTCCCTCTCTCTCTCTCTCCCCCTTTCACACTTGTCTGTTCTATGAAATAAAGTTAAAAATGCCCCCAAAAATATCTTAAAAAAAAAAGAAAAAAAAAGAAACTGCAAGGTATTGGATGGCTTGTTAGGAAAGCTGCATAGAGCCATGCCAGTCCAGACACAGCTGGCAAACACGGGTGTCATACTGTCAGCACCATTTGATTGGCCAGCTGGAGGAGGAGTGTAGTATGGATCTAATAGCCGAATTACAACGTGTCTCCTCACTTCTTCCAAAGCTCATGAGAGAGTAGGGTGAAGCAGCTGGCAGTCCTATGGCAAGTTTTTGGGTGGCCAGGTGCCATCTCTGGCTGTCACAGTCAATGCTGCAGCCAGAGGATAAGGCGTGTCTGCTCAAACTACCTGTTGAGCCATCTGTCTTGTTTGGGCCTGATGCATCCATGATGATTTAGTAGGGCCAGAAGCCCATCGCTGTGCTAAGGAGGTGTCAGGCGCCTTGAAGCAAGGTCAGGGCCGGCAACGGCCTCAGCCGCAGCAGCCCAAGCAGCCTCAGCCTGCTTGGGGGCAGGAAGATCTGCAGGGCCAGCTGGACGCAGCACGGCGTGGCAAGTCTGAATGGGGCAGTGGCCAGGGACCACCCAGGCCTACGCCTCAGTCCTGACACGACATCACCCCCAGCCTTCCCTTGCCCTCAGGCAGCATTGGAGGCTCGATCTGGGAGCAGACACCCTGGGTTGTTTCAACAATGATCCAGGGTATCATTTACAGTTCCGAAGCTCTTCTCCCCTGTCAAGAGTGGCTGCATTTTCCATGATTGCAGACCACCAGCACAGGGAGATCTTGCACTCAAGATTCTTCACTCTCATGGTGAAGTCAGCTATCAGGGAAGTGAAGAAAGAAGATCAGCAGGCAGGGTTTTATTCCTGCTGTTCCGAAGAGGGGACAGGACACTCAGGCCTGTCTTAGACCTCAGGAGGCTCAACAAGTTCCTCAAGTCCCTTAAGTGCAGAAATGTTGACTGTGCCCACAGTCAAGCAGGCTGTCCGGGTAGGCGACTGGTTTGCAACCGTCAAACTCAAGGACGCCTATTTTCAAATTCCAATCTGAGAGGGGCACGGGAGGTTTCCCAGGGTTGCCTTCAAAGGAAAAACCTTTGAGTTCTTTGTCCTCCTGTAGATTTCTCACACAGGGCATATGGAAACTCAGACTAAACACTGAGGTAAACCAATGCCAATAAAGACAGAGTCTGCAAAAAGTTTGACCAGTTACAGTCAGGCTTCTTCAAAGACAATTAGTGAAAACTGTAAATAAAAACAATACAAAAAATATTATGCATCTGTGTTTTTAACTAAACACTGCACATAAATGTAAATAAATGTGTTTTTAAAGGGATAGTGCACCCAAAAATGAAAATTCAACCATTATCTACTCACCCATATGCCAACGGAAGCTCAGGTGAAGTCCTCACATCCCTTGCGGAGATCGGCGGGGGGAGCAGCTCGCACACCTAATGGCTGACGGCTGTTTTTTATCATGTAGCTCAAAGCACACATTCCGGTGTCCTTATGCAAATGTCAGAATGCTAACATCCAAAATTAAGACAGTTAACATGGTGTATATGTCTGCTAAACATTTTTAAAACATAATATCATTGTTAGCACTATGATACATTGCATAAATATATTAGGATAGTAATACCTAACATTATCATTTTAAGCCTGTTAGCTTGGTGGTGTTAGCATTTAGCTCAAAGCAGACATTCCATGTCCTTATGCAAATATTAGAATGCTAACAACCAAAATAAAGACGGTTAACATATACATGCTAAACATTTTTAAATCTAACTTTTAATTGTTACTGTCAGCACTAGGCTGCATTGCATAAAAAGATAGTAGCACACAACATTGTCATTGTCATGTTAGCATGGTGGTGTTAGCATTTAGCTCAAAGCAAACATTTTATCCTTTTGCAAATGGTAGCATGCTCACACTTGAAAATCAGACAGTGAACATATATATTAGGCTATCTGTTAGACCTTTTTATTACATAACTCTTACTTATATTACTCATAGCAGTAGCATAACTGCATTTAGTACATACCATTGTTAGTTGGAGCATGTTAGCATGGTTTTAGCATGTAGCTCAAAGCAGGCATCTGTCACTGTCCTTATGCAAATGTTAGAATGCTAACATGAAGACAGCTAATATGGCGTATATCTGATAAACATTTTTAAAACAGCACTTTTAAATATGTTACTGTTAGCACTATGCTACATGGCATAAAAATACATAAGTATGTAACATTGTCATTTTAAGCATGTTAGCATGGTGGTGTTAGCATTAAGCTCAAGCAGACATTCCATCACCCTTTAGCAAATGTCAAGTTTGCAAACATTTTAAACTAAGACAGGAATATGATATACACTTACTTAACGTTTTATAACATTAGTTTTCCTTATAAGTAAAATATACATACTGGTATTAAGATACTTTAGCATGCTGCCGGTGCTAGCATCTGGCACAACAAGCACCTTTTCTAGGTTAATTTCCTTTGTGTATAAAAGTCAGGCAAGACAGGACGACATGAGGCTTGAAACCCATTTTATTATGACAAATGTACAAGATCAGATTCATATGAAATAACAGTAAAGTTAACAAAAATGTAAGGAGCAGACAAAACACCAAAAACCAGTCTACTAGCATCTATACACAGTGGACAAGGTGTCTTTCCTCCCAGATTCGTCATGAGGTAAATAGGAAACTCTGTTAACACTTCAGTCATTGGCACCGACTTCCCCCTTTAATCCCATCGCAGCCTTTACTTATTTCGCTCCCCTCTCTCCCATGCAGGTCTTGCTACAGGTTATTTCATAACCGTGAGATACGTATTAATACATTCTCCTTATCTCTGTGGAGAATTTAAAAACAGGTTACATACAGCACACAGACATCCACATTCCTTTACTCTGACTCAACCCACCAGAACACACACACTTTCTATTATTACATTTGTAGAATTGGGTTTTCTATATTCTGTCCAGCTAATCTAAAAGCTAAATATTTGTGTATAGAGGCCCAAGTTGTGTGCACTGCAAGCAGCACATATAGGTTTTGTCTTGGAAGTCATGTTTTGGCCATCGCCAGTATCAAAACGGTATGATAAATAGAGTGGTTTTTCCTCTGTGAAGACCATGCTGAGACTAATTTACAAAATATTTTACAAACAGGCTTCATTTCTTCTCTTAAATCAAATTCACCTGTCCTAGATTATTTTCTACGATAATCCTATCTCTCCCCCAAGCTTCTGTAACATGCCTTTAGTAGGTCAGCGCATGCTTACCTATGCAGTTTCACTGCAAAAATGATAAGATATCCTGTGGCGGCTACTTCACAAGTCCTTCAGCACTAATGCAACAGGTCAGGAGAATCCTTAAAACATGCCAAAGTTTTCTGGTTTTGTTACAAAAACTGTTGTGCCAATATTACTTCCCTACAAAATAAAACTATTAGAAAGTCATGCAATCCCAAAGAATTGCCCAATATATTTTTCCATGATTAAAAAAATGCCTCTAAATATATTACAGCAAAAAACTACAGATATACACACAGACTGGTTCCAGCAGAGGTCAGTGAAGTCATTGGTTTGTTTGTTTTTTTCTGTCCATTTCCCCCATTCAAAAACTGCATCCTGACTATCGCTTCAAAAAACAAATTTACACTAAGTTGTTTATTTTTCAGAATCTTGATCTGGTTTGAGGTCTTAGAAGTCTGCAGTTTACTGCAACTTGACCCGAACGTCAACTCAAGATTATGAAAATAGAGAATGTGAAACGGAAACATGGGAAGATCCAGGGGAGTAGAATACAAAAACAAAAAGAAGAGAGGGGTGTTGTGGAGCTTAGTGTTACTTTAGTTAATAAAAGCCACGGGTCTGCAGGTTTTTGAACCTTCTATGAAGGACAATGTACAAAGAAAATAAGACACTTTACATTTCGCTCAAAGAGACAACAAATAAAAGTTTAGATATACAAAAAAAAATACATTATTAAAAAACAAAATCACAAAAAAGTAACAAATGTAATAACAGGAAACTAGACTACATCTCATGATTAGGAGGGACGAGTTTTACTTCTGATTTTGTTTCCCCAAACGAACATAATACTCAAAAAAACAACAACTGGGGGTTCACCACTGATACTTAATGGCAGCGCACATAGTTAAAATAATTATATATGTATATAATATACAAAAGCTACTCTATCATTTAACAAAAAGTTCAAGGAGTGGGCTGACAAATGAAGGTTGGTCGATTTGTAATTAGTTAAGAAGGTTGTTCAACAAGAATAAATACTCTCATCTGAAGCTTTCACAAATTATATATATGTAAAAAGGCCAGAGTAATTTAAAGCAAAAGTTCAACACTTTGAGAAATACACTTATTTGCTTTCAGGAGAGTCAGATGGGGCGTTTGACATCACTCTCATGTCTCAATGCATATGTGTTGGTTAAATATACGGCTCTAGCTAGCAGCTGTTGGCACACATGGTAAAGACGAAAAAAAAGACTTTAAATGCAGCCCAATCATGATTGATTTTGTATAGGGGCCCATTTCAGCCAGTTTAATGGAAAAAAAGACACTGTGACTCAGTATAATGAGAAACTTTATCAAAATAATGGGTTAGTGGGGTCATTTCTCATTATCTGGAGAAACTGAGTCTATTGTGAGAAACAAAAAAGTCATTATTGTTGAGATACTAAGTCATTATCTTGATAAAGTTTTTCATTTAAATGACCTACAGGCGTTTTTTTTGTTTCACCACACTGGCAGAAATGAGTGTCCACAGTTAATGCGTTACTGGTAAAATCAGTTTTCAAAAACAGAACAGAATGGCAGCACAGCAAGTCAGACAGACAAGCGGCCTGTCTCTGATTGACCAGTAGAAAAAGGATCCCCTGTAGGGGGGATAAGCTTATGGACCCTGGAAAGGGTAGTTGTTACTGTGGTAGCAACTGATGGGGATCCTGATTAGTTCAGAAACATAGAGAGCTTACCAAAATAAATCAGTCTTTGGGCCAAGCTAAGCTAACTTGCATCATATTTGCCATACAAACACGTAAGTGGAATCAATAACCTCATTTAAATCTGCCTGAAAGCAAATAAAAATCGCATATTCTCCAAAATGTAAAAACTGTTCCTTTAAGAGATAAAATCTAAAACCAAGATAATTTTTAACAGATGTCCAGAACTTCATATCACTTATGGAATGACTTATTTTACTCTTAAAAAATGTTAAAAGTCCCAGTCTTTTAGCAGTCAAATACACAGCTATTTCCTACACATCAATTTCAGTGCTCATTTTCCCATCAGGAGCTAAAATTTGCAGAAATCTTAGAAGTAGCAAAATAAAAAACAGGACAACTTGAGAGGTGAAATGAGTGAGACATTTTTAGAGGATGGAGGTGGTTTGGCAGTGGAGCTGGATGATGCAGGTGAGCTGATTGATACCAGACAAATGAGTGTTGATGGTTTGGTGCCCTTGTTTGTCGTATAATCCCACAGGGACAGCATCAGACTGGTGACGGGGATCCAGTTCGTATTGTAGCAAAGACTGCTGAGACTCGAGGTCCGAATGACACAAGTAAAAAGGACGACAAGGAAGTGTTGGTGGGGAGGGAATAATAAAGTTAAGCAATATAAAAATACAATACCACAAAAAAATGAAACAGTACACCTTTGTTTTTGTTTTTTGTTTTTTTTTTTGTTTGTTTGTTTTTTTTTTTTTTACAAATCTTCGTTATTGCAGACGTAGTCCACTAGGTCTGTGACTCCTAACAGGTCGTCTTCGTCTTCGTCCTGCGCCGCCATCTCCTGGCCGACCAGTCCGTTCGGTGCTATGGCAGCGGCTGGTGTAGCACTGATGTTTTTGGGTGGCTCCAGATGTGGGGTGAGGCCTGGAGCAGCGGAAGCGGGCCGACCAACGAGGCCTTCGAGGCTCTTTATTGGGCTCTGTCCGTTGGTGGGTGGCAGCTCCACCTGATTGCAGTCCACTGGGTTTGTTCCCTTTGACTCCTCGTCTGTTTTTTCAGCTGCTTTCTTCTCCTTCGGTTTCTCCTCCTCCTCATCTTCGTCGTCATCCGAGTCTATGCGGTTCACACGTTTACGGACGGGGCGATCCTCCTCGGACGATTCGTCAGAGTCGTCGTCGGAGTCGTCTTCTTCAGAGGCTCTCCTGCGTTTTAGTGCGAGACGTCTGCGCCGCTGCCGGGAATCTTCCTCTGAGGAGTCAGCTCTTCTCTTCACCCTCCGATCCCTCGTCTCCTCCTCAGAGTCTCTGGAGAAACTCGCTGAGAAAAGAAAACAAGAAACCTTTAACCTCCTGTAGTTCTGCCAGGATCACCTCAATATACTTAACTGTTAATGGTCAGTAGATCACGAGGGCGTTCCCGACTGAGAATTTTCCTAGTCGACCAGTAGTCATCATTTAGCGCCATTAGTCGACTAGTCGCCCGCATGTTTACGATATTAATTTAATTATTAAATGATATATTTTGGGCGGAGCAACACAATGGTTTGAGTTGAAGGTGTGAGAAAGAATAGTATCAGTAACATTGTTAACACTGTGCTACATTACAGAGAAATACAAAAGCGTACTAATGAACCTTCATTAATATAGGCCTATATTTTATCTACAAGTGCACGTCACACACTGAGCGAGCCGCCTGTTAATGACGCTGTGAGCTAATGGGCATGTAGCTACTTCCATGTTTCAGATGATACGTCATGTTTGTAGTCGACTAATGAAGATGAGTTTACATATCACCTTGGGTTCGTCCTTCACCTTCTCAAAATGATCCAACACTTTGGATTTCCTGCCCGACATGTTATTAACTAGCCTGTGGAATAACCGCAGGTACCAGCCCTGGAAATTAACCTGAGTCCTGTCTGACTGCTGAGTGTGGACACTTCCTGTGTCTGTCCTTTCAAATTAAACTCCTACATGGTCCAGTCATATAGGTTTTGATAACTTCAACAAGGCGCAGCTCCTGATAGATTTTCACGTTTGTTATTTTTATGCTGCAACTAAGCAACCAATGAAATCTTGCAAACTAATTACCTTTCTGGTCGACCAACGTTTGGTTGACTATTAGGGGGCAGCCCTAAACATCGTAATTAAAAACAGTTCTGTCATCACAGCTGCCATTAGTGACAGAAATATGACCTCTATACATACTGTATTTGACATTTTTTTTAAGCTGTCTAACTGCTGATAATATTCCTCTTATATTGTGATAACACTGTAAAGATTAACGTTTAGTTTGCATCATTGTGATTTTCTTGAGTGATATAATCTAGTATAATGAGTAACCTTATCTGTATCTCAGTTTTATTTCACGAAAGGCAATTAACACCGTCCATATAGATATTTTCTGATAGCAGTTCCTCTGCTGGAGGCATAAAATGTCATGAAATATGATTGTCTTGAAGTTTCAACAGAAACTGGTGCAACTTGACCCTATATTGATAGAAACGATGTCTAGATTTATATCTTACTTGAAAATATATTGATTCATTGTACATAGTGGTTTTATCCCCCAGCCCTATTTAAAATGTATGTTTTTATTGCTTTTATACCTTTTACTTGTATCTATTCATTACATGTTGTCTTCCTTTGGTCTTACCGTTTTTTGAAGAGCTTTCTGTTATCATATTGCTTTCTGATTATCCTGCTTTTGCTTTGACTGTCAAAGTACCCTGTAAACTGTTTTTAAAGGTGGTATGAACAGGGTGACTACAGGTATGAGGAAGTTATATTTAAGACTTTTTAAGACCTTTTTAATACCACCTTAAAAAAAATTTAAGACCAAACTTGCGATGGAAATATGGACCAAAGTGAAAATATATTCTTTTACAATTAAAGGCATTGATGTCAGTTAAAAATGTACAATTAGGAAAAATGAAAATAATCAGTTGTTCAACAACATCCTTCAAATGTTTTTATTAATGTGGAAAGAGAACAGTTATTTAAACTGAGCCAGTAGGTGAAGTTTGTGAATTACCTCACCTGAAGTAAACAAATGCAAATTAAGACAGAAGGGGATATAGTACATTGTTTATTTTTGTATCTCTACTGTAAAACAAAGACATGAAAAAGATACAAAAAAAGAACACATGTCCAAATAAGTTAGAGCTATAACGATTACGCCACCCACTATTTTAATTAAGGAAAATTTCGCTAATTCCAGCTAAATGTGACTATTTTCTGGTTTCTGTACCTCTCTATGAGACTTAACTGACTGTATTTGGATTGTGTTAAGGACGTCACCTTGGGCTTGTGGGACACTGTTCGGACATTTTTCATCATTTTCTGACCTCTTTCAGACCAACAGTTTAATCAGACACTATCTTCTTTAAAATTTCGACATCCATAGATGAGGGGATATTGGTGGCTCGTTCACTTTCTTTTGTCTTTTCTTTAAACAAGAGTCTCATAAAATGCCAGTGGCAACAGAACTAAATAAGAAGGTAAGTTAACAATCTAGATAACAACTAAAAGCTCATATTAAAGCTTTTTCCACTACACAGCTGTTCCTCACTATAGGACAAGCGTTTGTATGGGAGTCAGAGCTCTGCAAAAATGAGTCTGAATAAGATCATTCCCTGCAGGTTCAATGACTATAATCTAGACTCATTTAACTCTGAACAGACAGATGATCAATGTGTTGAGAACCTCCACTTTGGCAGTGATGAGTTTAGCCACAGACAATGGCTTTTATTAATGTGGAAAGAGAACAGAGAAAATGTAAATAACTAGAATAAAATTGTCTTTTGAAGAAAAAAAAAAAATCAATAAATAACAACAAAAATAATTCCAGCAAAGAAGCCACTGTACCATACTACTTGCTAATATGACTTGTCACTGACCAACCCACAATAGTAGCTTAATTTCTGTCCTGGCTAACGAAACCTTATATTTCTATTATAGGCCCACCTCAGATATAACAATGTGAACACACAATTTTCATTTTAAAAACAGGAATTCTGAGGTGAGGTAAAAGAGGAAGGTGGGAAGGTAAGGGAAAGAGAAAATGTCTGACTGGACATCAAGGCATGTGCCTGAGTTCTGCTGATTTATCTTCCAGCTCTCTCGCAACCTCTTTCAGTTCTGCGACTTTGTCTTTGTATCTCTTTCTGAGTATGTTGGACTTGGTGATTAGCTGGGCCATGAGTGTGCCTGAGTGACCCTCAGCTTGCTCTGCCAGTTTATCTGCATCTTTTTCTAGGCTGTTTGCTACCTCACTCAGTGTCACCTTCTTTTTTTTGAGCTGCTCAAGGTACTCCTCTGCAACTTTTCTCTTTTCTCTTCGTGTGTCGCTCTCCTTCTTTCTCTTTTCCTGGTCCAGGTGTAGCCGATACTGAGACCTTGCTGAGGCTGCAGCTGCCAGGAGCTCCTTTGTCAGAGGAACTTTGAGAACCCCACCACAGACAGAAACATAGTCACATATCATTCTCTGAGCAACAACTGTGTCCTCCTGCATGTTATCAGCCTCTACCTCCTTGTTTACAGAAAAGCCCCTCTCAACTGTCGCTTGACCATGAGACATGAGCAGAAGTTTCTTGCAGAAAGTCCAGAGCTCAGGGTAGGACTGATGGAGGAGTCCATGCAGGAAAACATCCAGTCTTGTCCGCACAGGTTGGAAAGAAGAGAAGGATTCAGCTTTTTCACACATGTAAATGTCTGTACAAGCACAGAGTCTGGAAACATGGCCTTGAACACATCTTCTATTCCCTCATTTGATCTGTACGAATGGTGGCTAGTCACCGTCCTCAGCATCCAGATCACTTCTGCTCTAAGTGTTGGCGTAGAGCCACAAGCTGTGCGAATGTCAGATGATGACGATGTTGGCTGTGGATTTCCCACCGTAACATCCTTGGTCGTAACATCCTTGCTGGCGGTGGGTAGAGTGGAGCAGAAACTGTCAATCTGAGTCTGCTGGCTGGCTCTGGTATAGTCCTTGTGCTTCCCGCTCTGCAAATGCGAATCCTCCGCTTTGATTCCCATTGTCCCAAGTTTGAAATTCCTTCGGCACATAATGCAGTTGGCTTCATAAACATTTCCATGAACGGGCCTTAACCACGACGAGTAGTCTGTGTTTTCAAGCCACTTGTCATTAAATCGGCATTTTCCCATTTCGTTCAACCAAGAAGGCCACGTTAGCTAGCAAAGATGCAGCACACTCTTCTTCTTCTGCGGGTCTGCAGCAGACTCATTGCGTCACGTGATCTAAACGACGGGGCGAGATTTAGATCATTCCGTGCTTACCAGAAATTTTCGCGAGCACATTTAAGACCTGTCTGATCTGAATTTAAGACAATTTAATACTTTTTAAGGCCTTAAATTTGAAAAAATTTATTTAAGACTTTTTAAGACTTTTTAAGGACCCGCGGTCACCCTGATGAAACCGTTTATTTCATTGTTTTTTTTTAAGCATACATCTCATATTTGTGATTTATTCATTCATCTATATGATGGTTTTATTAGAATGTTGAATGTTCTTCTATCTGCCCTGCACCATGAACTGAGCATGTCAAATTGCTGACCACATTTATGACCTTTTTATAGCCCTGAAACACAAATACACACTCTCCTTTATCTGTCCACACACATAATTGATGTGTGCTGAATACAGGCAAGAATGAAAATTGAAATAAAATGGAAAAAAATAAATTGCATTCAACAAAAAGAAGTTCTTAGTGTTGAGGGAACTGTGTCGTAGCACTCACATGCTAAATGATGAAATTTCTCAGCCATATTAGTTCATCTTTAAAGATTTCATGTTTCACTTTTTACAAAAGGGGAGGCTAATAGTATCTCGGGGATGACAACTGGCAAAGAAGGCATCATTATTTCAGCATTGTGTTATCAAAACTGTGTGTTTGTGACTGACCGTCGGTGTCTGAACTGTCCTGCTGACGTCTGGGTTTCATTTTGGCTCGGTTGGTTTCTGCCTGAGAGCCTTCGGACTCAGACGTCTCGCAGTAGTTCACCTGCTTCTTCTGACTCCGCCGAGACCGCCGTCGACTCATATCCAGATCACTGTCACTGTACTCACTGGAGCCTTCAGTCACTGGAGACACAAAATAATAATATGATGGGTTATAAATGCATGTGGTTAAATCTCCTCCAATGAATACAAGCATTAGGAGAGAAAACCTGAGAATCTTCTGAAAGAAAATCTATTTCATGAAACACCAAGTGTGCAGCTGCAGCTAATTATGAATTGTCTACAAGCTACAATTATTGTCTACAATAATCTATATACCTATTTCATCTTCATCATCTTCCTCATCTGTCTCATCTTCCTCATCATCCGAGTACCCTCTCGGTCTCCGCCTCTTTCTGGAGCTCCGTCGTCGTGTCGGCAGCTTCCTGTACCGTGATTTAGTACGATGCCTACCGCTGCTGTTGCTGCCAAAGTCACTGTTGTTAGAGTCCGCCTCCGACTCAGCCTCCGTGTCATTTTCTGACACGACAAACTCCTCTTCCGAGCTGTATCAAAAAAAATTACCAAATGCACAAATGTAAATATTTCATGGACAGAGTTTACTATTCAGTTATAAGCAAACCAAACTTATTCAACACCTTCAGAAAAAGCCATGAGATTCATCAACTGAGAAGAAAAGTCACTGCAATTTCCTTACCTTTCACTGAGGCGAAACTCTTCCTCACTTTCCTCCTCGTCCACGGTGCTGTCGCTGTCCAGGTCATTGAGTCGCCGGCGTTTTTTCCTGCGCTGACCGGCAGGGGGTCGTGGTGGACGGCCGTTCTCCTTGCCCTCCTCTGCTTGAAGGATGGCGGACATATCCTTTCCTCTGTGACCTGTGATGTTGGCCATGTCTTTACCCCGACCAGCTCCTGTGAAATACACCCCTCATCATTACCTCGTCACAGAACATTTGCTCAGATCTTTACAAAAAAGGTTTTAAAGTATGGGAAATATGCTTGTCACTTTTTTTTCTTATATTTTTTGAGGGGTAGTTATTCCTTATCTGAGTTGAGGGACTAAGGACAGAGGGTGTTGTATTCTCAGAGTTTCTACACCTTTTCCAAAGTCACATTCAAGCACTTTTCAAGGATTTTCAAGCTTTTCCAGCAGCAGCTGTGGTAAACTACATATTTATACATATGCTCAGACGCAGCGTTCTCAGGTACACCTGTACAATCTGCCACAATCCAACATATTTTAATTATTTATCTAAAAAGCAAATTTCTCAGTCAGACAGTGAGTTATTATCAAAGTCATGCAAATATAATTTCAAGCAGTTTCAAGCACTTTATTCAAAATCCAAGCATGTTTCAAAACACCTTGAAAACACTACATTAACATTTGAGTGTTTTCAAGGCTTTCCAGCAACTGTAATAAGGGAAATTATATATTTCAAGCACTTTTTGAGAACTGACCTACAGTTTGGCATAACTCTTGAACTTGTTGGGTCTGACTCCAGCAGTCTGAGCAGCTGACAGCAGCCATGTGTACATCACAACATGGCGAGAGGAGCTAAAAGCTACTCCTGGGAACATTAGTGGCCATTTGTAATTTGGGTTGAGCAACCACAGGTCATTAAACTGGTATTTGCCAAGCATGCTGGACAAGTAACAACAAGGGGTTAAAAGCACTTCTGTTACTTTTGACGGGAGGGAAGGAGGGGCGCATACGTTTTGGGCCTAGCCTTGGTGCAGAGACACAATTACAGTGAGTATACCGCACAGTGTTGAGTTCTTTCGAGAGTCAAATGACCAATAGATTCTCAAACTCAACAATTCCTTTAGGGTACATCCAAGTACTTGACAGAATCGTGGTAACCCTGTGTAAAGTCCCTTGAGGCAAATTTGCAATCTGTAATATTGAGCTATATAAATAAACTTGTCAATGACACGTTCACACTCTGAATATTAAGCTAGAACCAGCAGCCGATTGGCTTAGTAAAGCATAAAGACTGAAAACGGGAGAAAACAGTTGGCCTGGTCATGTCCACATGTAAAAACGTGCGCCTGCCTCAAACGGTCACTAATTAACACATTATGTCATGTCTGTTTAATCCACAAGGGGTTTTGTGCTGGGCTGTTTCTTGTTGTTTTCACACTTGGTTTTTGTTTGAATTTGTTAGCATCAAAGATGCTGGTGTGCAGATTTCGGCATCGATCTTTTCACCAAACTCTTGACAACTAAAGCACATTTTCTAAAATGTAGTGCTACTGCTTAAATTTTTTATTTCTTTTTGAAGAGAAGAAAGTCCTCATACCTCCGCCCTCTGCTTCTTTGATGTCTTCCTCAATTGCCTCCTCGATCGCCTCATCGAATTCATCAAATCTGTAAAATTAGCATTGACAAGAATACATGTTATGGATCGTAGAGAACATCATACTTCATCAGTACATTAAATTTATTTTCTGCAAAAATAATTACAAGGATCAAATTCTAGTTAACTAGCATTGGCTGCTGAAAAGATGCATTAAATTCATCAAGTCTAAATCTAAATATATCTACATTACATTACATAACTTACTATATTTTTATATTATATGTTATTTCATGTATTCTTTTCCACTTCAATTATATATTTAGTATTCTTATGTTGTGTTCACACTGGGCACCAATAAAACAATACCTGCGAGTGAATTACATGTAAAGTCTGTATAAAGATACGATTAGACTCAAATTCCTGTTAGTGACGCGAAACATGCAAATTAAGGGGCGTGAATGAAGCCAGTAGTGCAATTTCGTGTCATGTGCTTATTCGCTAGAGTTGAAAAATCTCAACTTCAGCGACCAATTGGCACCATGATAGCTAATCAGCATTAAAATCCTCCAGCGACATGTGACGCTGAGGATTTACCAGCAGAAGTTCATTCATCGATTCTGCAATTTCAGGCAGGTATGATGCAGATCAACACAGATAATATTCTAACGTTCAAACAAAATTTCGCTTCGTGTTTGGTGTGAGCACAACATTATGATAGTATTATCACTACATCAATACAATTTTCATGTAATTGGAGGTATTGTTTTGTATATAATGCATAGTATAAAGCTTTTTAATGTAATCACTCATTCATTTTATTTCTCACTTTTGTATTTATTTAATTAAAATAGTTCTTTATCTTTTTTCTTTCTCTGTGCTGCTGTGACACGTGAATTTTTTTAGGTGTCTTTATAAAATAAACCTTTCAGAGTGTTTTTTGGTCTTACACTTACACAAATCATCTTAACAACAAGAACCATTGAATGTAAAAAGTAAAACTAAAATCAGAGTATAAAAATGACGCCAAAGAAATGACTTATTAAATACAAGAAAATCAGAGCACAGACCTGTAGCTGATGGATTTCTTCGCCCTCGTCGACCTTCGACCCCAGCTCTTACTTCTCTTTGTGTCTTTCTTCTCTTTGATGATGATCTCTGGCTTCTCTTCCTCTACCTCCACCTGTAATAAATAAGAGTTGGTCATTTACTGTCACAAACATCAACAGGTAAATGTGTAGTTCCCTTTCAGTCGATTCACTCGGTACAACACATATAGTATGGGATATCACGCCCCCGCGTGGCCTGACTGAAGAAACCTCTATTCACGCCTTTAAGGCAAATGATCTGTGGTGACGCATGTGAGGCATGGCCCGCACATACACTGAACAAAAATATAAATGCAACACTTTTGTTTTTGCTCCCATTTTTCATGAGCTGAACTCAAAGATCTAAAACTTTTTCTACATACACAAAAGACTATTTCCCTCATATATTGTTCACGAATCTGTCTAAATCTGTGTTAGTGAGCACTTCTCCTTTGCCGAGATAATCCATCCCACCTCACAGGTGTGGCATATCAAGATGCTGATTAGACAACATGATTATTGCACAGGTGTGCCTTAGGCTGGCCACAATAAAAGGCCACTCTGAAATGTGCAGTTTTGCTTTATTGGGGGGGTCTGAGGGGGGCAGAAAACCAGTCAGTATCTGGTGTGACCACCATTTGCCTCACGCAGTGCAACACATCTCCTTCGCATAGAGTTGATCAGGTTGTTGATTGTGGCCTGTGGAATGTTGGTCCACTCCTCTTCAATGGCTGTGAGAAGTTGCTGCACAGGCAGGCACGGCCCGTGCGCTGAGCTCGGTCACTATGCTCCAGACATATCAAGCCATATGTCTGGCAGAACATGGGTCACTCATGCCTTCCGACAGTCCACTGGCCCCTCTTCTCAACGAGGTTAGAGTCGCTACGGATTACATCCTCCGCGTGTCCCACTGTGCAGCGCTCTCCCTGGGCAGAGGGATGGCTTCTACAGTGGTTGCGCAGAGGCACCTGTGGCTGACTCCTTCTGACGTTCCGGAGAGGGACAGGGCTGTTTATTTGGATGAGCCAGTGTCTGCTGAAGGCCTATTTGGACAGTCGCTCGACGCTATTCAGACAAAATTTGAGCTGAGAAAGAAGCAGACAGAAGCCCTGCGCAGCATCATCCCCAGACATGATGCTAAACCAAAGCAGCCTGCCAAGCCGACACCGCCGCCTCCCCCCAAGAGGGCAGCGCCGCCTGCGAGTTTGGGCTCCCAGCCGGTGAAGCAGCAAGCATTGGGCCAAACCCCACGCCAGTCTGCTTGGAGCAAGGGTCCACCACCAGGCCTCCAGAAGGGTTCAGCGCCTAGGAGGAAGAAGCCGCACTCATCCTAGCTCCGGGAGTGGGCCGAGAGGGGCTCCAGCAGCAAGGAGACACTGCTGCCCCTCATCTGTTGCCGCCAAGAGGCCGCGTTCATGTTTAGCTCTGGGCGAGAAGCATTGCACTCCCCTGACACAGTTTCCCAGTATCCCAAGTGCCCCAGTATTGGTGCCTTCTGTTCACTGTGTGAATGTTGTAAATGTGCATTTATTGAAATCAATAAAGGTTCCGTTTTGTACCCAAAACAATAGCAAACAAATAAACCAGGTCAAACTGGTGGTGCCGTTCCCCTCTGGCACGCCAGAGAGCGACAGCCCATTCCCTACAGTGCTGCAGGTCAGTCGGCTAGCTGTCCACCTCCCTCAATGGCGCGCATGCGCAGTCTCACCATGGGTAGAGAGGACTGTTGCCATGGGTTACCAGTTACAGTTCAGGGCCCGGCCACCCCGTTTCCACTCTATAACAAACACAGTTATAGGGGACGAGGCAGCTGCAGTACTGAGGGAAAAAATAAACGGCTTGTTGAACAAGAGAGTGATACGAGTTGTTCCCGCTTTGGAGACGAACAAAGGTTGGTACAGCCGCTATTTTGTTGTTCTGAAGAAAGGGGGGGGACTTCGTCCTATTTTAGACCTGCGAATGTTAAACAAGTATCTAAGAACTTACAGGTTCAAAATGCTAACACTCAGACAGCTACTGAGCGCGATCGGGAGATTGGTTTACAACTATCAATCTTACAGACGCTTACTTTCACGTAGCGATACACCCGGACCACAGGCAGTTTCTAAGGTTTGCACTCGAGGGCACGGCCTACAAATACTTGGTGCTGCCGTTCAGCTTGTCACTCGCCGAGATAATAAGTCTGCTGGCAGCGAGGCCCTGGGAGCTTCCCCTCCGCAGGGACCTCCTCTCCCAGGCGGGAGGGGAGGTGGTTCATCCGCGCCCAGAGCTGTGGCGGTTGCATGCCTACCTGTTGAAAGGTCCAATCTAATAGCTAAGGGTCTGCTCCCAAGTGTGGTGGCAACTATCCAGAGTGCGAGGGCGTCGTCAACTAGGAGTTTGTATACTTACAAATGGCGGGCTTTCGAGCAGTGGTGTCAAGACCGAAATGTACTCCCATTTCAGTGCTCTATTGTGGATGTTTTGACATTCCTCCAGGAACTGCTGGATAAGGGTCTCTCTTTCTCCACATTTAAGGTTTATTTGGCCTTTATATCTTCATGCCATGTTGGTTTTGATGGAGTGACACCAGGCGCTCATCCTCTTGCCATGCTTTTCCTAAAGGGAGTCCGCAGGCTGAGGCCTGTGATTAAACCCAGCGTTCCCTCATGGGATTTAGCTTTGGTGCTTGAGGCGCTTTGTGGACCCCCATTTGAGCCTATTGAGACTGCAGATATGAAGTTTCTTTCATATAAGACAGCACTATGTCTTGCTTTGGCTTCTGCAAAGTGGGTGGGCGACCTTCATGCGTTATCTGTACATCCCTCATGTACTCAGTTCACTTTGGATGGCTCTAAAGTTACATTGCGCCCAAATGCAGCATATTTGCCTAAGATTATCCCTGCAGCCTATAGCTCTATGACGTTTGAGCTTTTGAGCTTCTGTTCCCCTCCGTTTGCTTCCGAGGAGCAGAGGAGGTTACATTTCTTGTGCCCCGTGCGTGCGCTACGTACTTACATAGACCGCACACAGAGTGTGCGTTTATGTGACCAATTGTTTGTCTGTTTTGCTAATCCGGATAAGGGTAAAGCACTGTCTAAGCAGCGGCTTTCTCACTGGATTGTGCAGGCTATCTCCCTAGTGTACAACAGCAGGGGTCTTCCATTGCCTCACGGTGTGAGGGCACATTCGACCAGGGGCATGGCAGCATCATGGGCTTTATTTAAAGGGGTATCTGTGAGTGATATCTGTGCTGCAGCCAGGTGGTCATCACCGCACACTTTTGTCCGGTTTTATCGTTTGGATGTGACAGCCCCTTCAGTGGCTCACTCTGTCCTTTCTGCTGGGTCTACGATGCACTAGAGTGCTGGAGGTGGACTCCGGTTCGGTGGCTGCTCTGTGGGGCGTGTATACATGTCCCATACTATATGTGTTGTACAGAGTGAATCTACTGAAAGGGAACGAAATGTTATGACTATAACTTCTGTTCCCTGAAGGAGAGGAACGAGGTACAACACTAGGTTGCCCCGCTGCGCAGCTGGGCTCGGTGAAGAGCAGCTATCGAACTGAAGAATGACTGTGGCGACGCAGGTATATATGTGCAGGCGGGGCCTCACATGCGTCACCACAGATCATCTGCGGGGGCGTGATATCCCATACTATATGTGTTGTACCTCGTTCCTCTCCTTCAGGGAACAGAAGTTATAGTCATAACATTTCGTTATCTGGTAAAAATCACACACTGAGCACTTACCGAGGGTTCAATGATGTTTTCAACACTGATTCCAACATAAATCAGACGCTCTTTCCTGGAGGAGATAACACACAGTGAGAAAGCCTTTCAATGTCAATAAGGTGCTCAAGTATCAATCAACCCAAACCAATATACTCTTCACTGTTTGTTAAAATAATTAGCATGTGTGTTTTAACTTTTCAGTCGTGTTCAAATGTTGGCAGCGCTGCAAAGCTTTCACAGTGAAGGAGCTGAAACTTTCACAGTAACAGGACAACATCGATTTGCAGTCTGACAAAACTATCAATGTTTATAATCAGTTATCTCTTTGTGTGATCTTTTCTACACCAAAGCAGAAACACATTCAAGTAGGTGCAGTAAGTGCAGCATCACTGGCAGTCAGTGGGAGTTAGGCTGTAGAACTTACACAAAAAAGTAAGTGTTGGTTAGTTTATGAAAAGAAAAACTGTTTGAACAGGGACCAAATGAGCCGAACTACAGGTGTAATGGCATCCCAAATCTACCTGAGACCTCCAATCACAGGTTATGGACAAATAGGAATGTTTCTCATTCAGATCTGATTTTAAGAGAGACAGATGTTTTTTGATTTGTCTGGTGGCTAAATGCTGACATTTTTGGGGGGATTCCAGTGGGATGGGAGTCAATTTCACTATTTATTATTTGACTGGGACAGGACAGAAAGTAAATAGGAATGGGCAGGACGGGAATCATAATACTGAGCTAGCAATGTGAAGTCAGCAGCTATCAGTTAGTTTCCACAGAGCACAGGAAATATATATTATAAATATAAATATATATGGACCATAAGGAGAATATTATCGCAATCATGATGCTAATTTCTGTTAGAGCATTAGAGGTGATTTCTATTATGTGTAAGCATCGAGCTAACTGACTAAGTGCTAGTTATTTGCAACATGGTTGTGGCAAATGAGCAGTTATGCTAGCTATGCTAAGAGCTATTTCAGCATTATGCTATACTGTATAGTTGAATGAATATACGTAGTTGTTTATTTATTAACTCTGCTTATTTAGAAACACAACACAGGAATGGGACGGGATTCATTCAGTCCCACTCCCATTTTTGTGGGAGTGGGATTGGACAGGATTTAAAATCCACTCCAGAATCACCGTCTACTGGTGACCCCTGAGGTTTATCTTTGAACCTCTTTGGGAGGTCACAGTCTCCAGGCTGGAACTGCTAGCCTAAAAATGACCCCCAAACAGTCAACAAACTATTCAGCATTAGAGTATTTGTGGTTGTATTGGACTGCATTATACGATAAGATGTTCCTGTTGTGTTGCCTACCCTCTGTAGAGTTGTACATCTTTGTTGACAGAAGAGTTTAAAGTATTGCAAACAAAAACTAAACTACTATTTGAAAAACACACAACAAAGGTAGGTGGCAGTGAAACAGGGACTCAGTTTAGGACAGTCAGTATTATTTGTTGGGATTTTTTGGGTGTCACTCAATCCCTGACAAGACAGCTGTTGTAGTATGTGCACATTTTTAATGAATGGTACAAACAGTACAAAACGTCTTACCTTCTCACGGCCCGTTCCTTCTTTTTCAAAGCAGCGTCGAGATTTTGGAGCTGTTCCTCTAATTTGTCACAGAGCAGCTTCTGCAGAGGGGATTAGCAACAGAGACATTAAGACACATGATCCTATTCAGTTTATTTTTTATTTAATATTTGGTGCTTTGACTGCTACGTACATGTTGACAGGGTGGACAGAACCATTCTCCGTCGGGGATGATCATGAGGGGAGGCCTCAGACAGGCTGTGTGGTACCCGCTGTCACATGAATCACACAGCAAGATCTGCGAAGGTGATGTTGACAGATGTTAAAGGGAAAGGTTTTTTTTTTCAATCATGTAACACACTGCATTTGAAGTCCACAGACACGAAATAAAACTCACAAAAAACCTCTTGGTGACGGCAATTTTAGACCAGTTTCTGGTTAAACAAAAAGGATCTTACCCATTAACAAAAAGGTCTGTCTCTGTAAGGATCCTTTCCAGAATGTTATCAGACAGACAGACATTTTCACATCAGCTGTCTCTACCCTCTCTCTTTTTTCTTCTGCCTGTTTCTCACTTTGTAATTTCAGTTTTAACAATAACTTGTTTATTGATTAGAAAACTGAAATATAAGTTGGTACAAGTATGAGATGCTGCGAGTACCCACCAGCTCAGGGTGATTTGGAAGACCACAATGTTTGCAGGGGTCATCATTAGGAGGTAGGTCGTCGTCTGAGGATGTCGAGGAGTCCGAGCTTCGCCTTTCTCGGTTACGATTCCGCCTCTTTCTGCTTCGCTCAACCTTGTAGTCTTCGTCACTGTCGTCCTCTTCCTCGCTGTCGTCGTCGTCGCTGGACTCCTCGTCGCTGTTGTCGTCGTCATCTTCGGAGCCTTTCTTTTTACGCCGCGTTCGTGTGTTGGACCACCGAACCCTCCGTCTCTTTCTCCCCTGAAACAAGCAACATGTTGACTTTCAACAGAGCGAATGAGTCAAAGGACAACTCAGTAAATATTATGAGTACTTGAGGTACATTTTGCTGATAATACTTGTATACTTTTACTTAAGTAAGGTTTTAAATGCAGGACTGGTGCTTTTATAATTCACTATTAGCATATTCACCTACAGGTAAACTGAGGCCACATCTGCACTTATACGTCTTTGTTATAAAATAATGTTATAAAACGGAAACAATCTCCATACACACAAGTTTTCTGGCACCATTACAGAAATAATCTCCATCTACGTATATTAAAATGCTCCAATACGCATATCACATGGACTTTCACGTACACTGGACATGCGCCTACCAGCGTGAACAGGAAGCAGATTGTCTGCCCTGCCGTTGGTTGGTTTGTGACTGAAATTTATTCAGTTACGGCAAAAAATAAGACAAGAGATTTCTTTGCTGGGACCAACGACCAGGTGGAACTGTTACTGAAAGTAACAGGAGTATATGGAGGACAGGCTGGGAGAAAACAGACTGGGGGTAATTGCAAAGCAAATATGGTGACATATCAGAACGGTACCTGGAGTATTAACCACCGCCAGAGGAAGCTATAGCAAGGAGAAGGGAGTAGCCGCAAAGGAAGGATGAAAACACAAAAGGTATGGAAGCATAGCTATAATGTTTTGACTTGATATGTGACCATATCAGAAAGTGAACGTGGGTGTCCGCGTCATTGCTTCCACATGTTTGAGTTTTTCGCCCATCCAGACTAAAATGCAACACCAGTTTTCAAACTGAAATGGGCTAAGCAACGTTTTAAAAGGTCTCCATTTTAGGGGAGCCGAGAGGCTGGAGTAGTGTCGAGGCTATGCTCAAATATAGCAAGTTATGCGTTTTAAAACAAAACCATGTAAGAGTTTTGCAGAGATGATGTTTATTTGTGGACAAACACGGAGTTTAAAATCGCCAATGTTCCCACGAGAGAAAGTCAATGGCATTTTTCCATTGGATTACTGCAGAAAATCAGCTCTATGGCAAACCAACCTTTATGAAGTTAGGCCATTGACAAACTAAACTACGGTCGCATGGCTAAAAGTTGCCACCACATCGAGGCTGTAAAGACGTGTTCAATGTGATGATGCTCTGTAGTCTCATTTAGCCACTTGTTAGCAACCGCCTTTTTTAAGACACGTAAAAGCTTCAAAGTTCACAAGTGGGGTATTTACTGACGTGTTTTATGCCGTAGAACAAAACATGAATGTCTCTTAAACTTGTGTTAACCACAGACCTTATGTCAGGCATCTAACCAAACACCCATTCAAAAAACTCATTGACTTCATGACAAGGAAACAAGGAGTGCTACAATGCTAACTCATTTTGGGGTTTTAGCACCTATTCCTGCACCACTCTTTTAGGGGGGATGTAGCCCAAGCTAATAAATTAAAGTGAAGGACAAGGCTACGCTTTACTGATTGTGCTTGAATTTATTTGAAAACAAAAAAACAATTAACTTGTTAGACTCTGACTTGGAAAAGTGACAGACCAGGCTGAGGGTGTGAGATGAGTTCAAACAGGAAAGCGTTCTGCAATATTCTAAAAACCTGCCGGTTCACACCAATGCAACTAGATGAGACAGTGGATCATCTCTATGCAACAACTACATCTGTACTGATTTGCAGTTTTTCAGACTTATTTTGTGGCTGAATATAATTTGTAGCTTCTTAAAATATGGATGAGGATAGTGATAGTGAGATACTGGCTACAGCTGCATTTGTCCTAGTGATGAAACAGCGAACAACAACTGGGCTTTAAACCACTGGTATGGTCGTTCTATTTGATGAAACTTTAAGAAAGATGCTTTGAAAAATACTTCCATGGTGCGATCTAGTGAGTGACCTTACCTTAGGTTTAGGCTGGCCCTCCTGATCAGCCTTCTTCTCTCTTGGTTTCTTTTGAACAGCTTTCACCTCCTCATCCTCCTCCTCTTCATCCTCGTCTTTTTCTTTCTCCCCCTCGCCCTCCTTGCCCTTCTCAGGCGGTGGAGCAGCCTGCGACTTCTCCAGCTTCCTGTCGTGGATCTCCACCACCTTTGGTGTTGGCCTGGAGATCCTCGGTGATCTTCGAAGAGATCTCCCCGTGTTCGAATCGGACTCAGAATCTGCTTGTCTCTCCTCTCTCATGAGCTCAGCTTTCCTTCGGTGGACTGGGGCCTTGAGTTTTTTCCTGTGGGAAACCTTGGACCTTGGAGCTTCCTCGCCGTTCGCCACCTCTTTTTTTGGTGCAGAATCCTCGCCTTCACTTTTGCTTTTATTTTCCTCATCAGCGGGCTTTTCAGTATCTGGCTCTTTGCTTGGGTGGTCCTCTTTCTCTGCTTCAGTTGAGGATTTGCTGTCGGTTTCTTTGCTCACATTCTGGTGACCAGATTCGTCCATTTTGGTCGAGGGTTCGCTTTCTTTATTAGCATGTTTCTCCACAGTTTTTGAGGGTTTCTCTTTTGTGGAATCTTCTTTATTTTCTTTGTCTTGACACAAGGATTTCTCACTGTCATTTTTAGGTTCATCCTTGTCAGTGTCCTTTTTAGTTTCTGTGTTTGTGTCCTTCTTAGTTGCCTTGTCCGTGTCCTTTTTAGTTTCTGTGTTTGTGTCCTTTTTAGTTTCTGTGTTTGTGTCCTTCTTAGTTGTCTTGTCCGTGTCCTTTTTAGTTACCTTGTCCGTGTCCTTTTTAGTTTCTGTGTTTGTGTCCTTTTTAGTTACCTTGTCCGTGTCCTTTTTAGTTTCTGTGTTTGTGTCCTTTTTAGTTTCCTTGTCTGTGTCCTTTTTAGTTTCTGTGTTTGTGTCCTTTTTACTTTCCTTGTCTGTGTCTTTTTTAGTTTCTGTGTTTATGTCCTTTTTACTTTCCTTGTCTGTGTCCTTTTTAGTTTCTGTGTTTGCGTCCTTTTTAGTTACCTTGCCTGTGTCCATTTTATTTTCGTTCTCAGTGTCCTCTTTAGTCTCCTTGTCTGCATCCTTTTTAGTCTCCTTCTCGGCATCCTTTTTACTTTGTGATGACGGATGCTCTGCTTCAGTTCTTTTAGGCTTTTCTTCTGACACCTTTTCCCGTTCTGTGTCTGGTCTTTCAGCTTTTTTATCTGTTTCTTTAGAGACATTTGTCTTCTCAACAGCACTGGGTGGTTTATCTTTCCCTTCAGATGCTTCCTCTATCGTCTTACTTGCAACCGAGTTAATCTCAGTTTTGTCATCCTCTTGTGGTTTTGTCAGATCAGGTTTAACAGCCACTGCTTCTACCTCCATGGGCTCGGGCACGGAGTCGCTTATCTTGGAAACATCACGCATCATACTGTCCTCGCAGTTAGCAGTTTTCTTTGCATCTTCAGTCTTCTCCGTCTCTTCCACCTTCTCCGTCCTCTCTGTCTTTCCTGTGTCAGTCTCAGAGGCTGCACTGGCCTCCACTGGCTTCATCTCTGAATCTTTAATGTTATCCTGATTCTCTGCAGGTTTACATGATTTGTCCAGCTTTTTAATCACTGACGACTCTGTGCTCTCTTCAGTGTTGGATGTTCCTTCTGGTTTCTCACTGATAACTAGTTTGTCGGTCTTTTTACTGACTTCCGGATTTCGTGTGGCTTCTCGGGTCTCTTTATCGTCACTGTCTTTTAGTATGTCTGTCTTTTTAATGACAGATGATGATACAGCCTTTTCAGAGTCAACAGATTTCTTTGCAGGATCTTTGTCTGCACACAATGACGTTCTGATGACTCCTGGCTTTTCTTTCGGGGCCGATTTATCTGAATTCTCTGCTTTAGTTTCCTTAGCATCACTCATTTCTGTTTGCTTCCTTTCTGTTACGTTTTCTGACGTCTTGGTTTCTGTTGTATCTACACAGGCTGGTTTTCCCTCCGAATCTTTTGATTCAGCTTCTTTGAATGTGACTTTTTCCGACTCACCATTTTTCTTTAACGTCTTCTCTGCGGTACAAGAGTCTTTTGTGGCTGCTGGTTTTGATCCTTTTACTTTATCATGCACTTCATGATTAGACGACTTCTCAGATGCCTTACTAACATCTTTAGGTAGAGGCGGCGGTTCTTTTGGAGGCTCATGTGCTTCCTCTTTTGACACTGTTTCCTTTTCTACATTCTTACCTAGATTTTTCTCGGCAGGGTCTGCTTGTTGTGATGTCACTCTCTCTGAGACCTTCTCTGCACTGCAAGCTTCACCCTTTTTATCCTTTGTATCCTCCTTGTCTGTGGATGGAGAGTCTTTTTCTTTCTTTTCTACAGCTTTACCTGCATCTACTTCAGCTGTCCGCTCTTTATCGATGGCGGCGTCTTTTAGTGACTCGCACAAGTGACTCTGGAGGCCTTTCTCTGACACAGGCTGAACTTCACCATTAACATGATCATTTATGCTCTGCACTTTCTTAGTCTGCTCAGGCGTCGAGTCACCTTTAGGAGCGTCCTTGACCTGAGGCCCAGACGGGTTTTGCACTATGATGCTGCTATTTTTTTCAAAGTCTTCACTAAACTTCATTCCTCTTTTTTTCAAAGGGATCTTGGCCTGCTGGTCGTTCTTCAGAGCTTGTTGAATCTCCTCTGCACTGTTCTTCTTAGCCTCCTCTCCCTTCTCTGCCTTTAATGATAAGCATGGTGCCTCGGAGGTGGGTTCACTTGTTGCTGTGCTTGTTTTATTGTCCGGCACATCCATTGGCTCTTCTTTGATGCTCTGGGTTTTTGTACTGATGCTGAGATCCGCTGCAGGCTTTTCTGAACTGAGCTCTGCTTCAGCTTTGCCTTCAATGATGCCATTCAGAGATGATTTGGCCTCTGAAGTTTCTGTTTTCAAGTCATCTTTCTGTGTTTCTTTTTCATCATTCTCTGTCTTTGGTGAGACTGGACCGACAGCCTTGTTGGTGTCTTTGTTCTCTTCATCAGACGTGTCCTCAGTCTTTTTAACTTCACCTGTAATAAAAAGATGAAATAAAAAAGATCAAATTAATGCTTGTAATAAAAGAAAAGAGTACAAGTGGGAAACTTTGATTCATATCTAAAAATACATACTGTGCAGGATTTTCCTAAAAAAACATAAAGACTCATACAGAAATAATTGGACTCATTCATGACTTATGACCCACCAGAAGTGTGTGGTGGTGGATTATTGTGCAGAGACTCTGTGCTCTGCCTGTATTTTCTGTGTTCTCAACGTTTATGGGTGTGTACTAGGGATGCACAATAATTTCGGAATCAGCTGATATTAGCTTTAAAATGATCTATCAGAATCCTCCAAAATGCTTTTTTGTATTTTACACAATAAACAAACATAACATACATTGAAAAGTATTGTATTTCATGTCTCCATCTGCTGGTGGGACATCATGAGAAGAGTATGCATGTATAATATGGTGTTAATTCCACTACAGAGGAGACCTGATGATCACTAAAATTAGGTGGTGAAAAAAAAAGTGGATATATCGATATTGGTATTGGTTATTGGCCAAATTAGTTGTTATATATTGGCATATCAGATGCTGGCAAAAAATCCAATATTGTACATCCCTGGCGTGTACTCCTACAGGGCTCAGGTGAGGTCGGGGCTTTATAAAATGGTAGCCACAAGGTGCCAGACAACAACAACAAAAAAAAAAAAAAAAAGTCCAGTTGGGCTAAACGCCAAAGGAGTGTGAATCTGGGGTTGGCTTTTACTTTAACTTTTGTTGGTGATATTGTTTACAAACAGTACCCAACAATCCTGCATAGTATACCTCTAAATCATAGGTGTCACATAACCATGAAAGAGGGACAGGTAGGAAAAAAGATTTAAACAAGAATTACGGTTCGTATCTTCAGCGATTCAATGACTGCAAATTCTTTGGTTGATATTTGGTACATTCCGTCCTCTTCTAGTGTTGCAACTTTCTCACTAGATTTCGCAATCTCAGAACCCATCGGCTATCGACAGACGACAATAAAGTCTCGGGGGGGGGGGATTCTTCTCACTGCAACTCTCAACCCAACTAAAAGTGCTTACATTTGATATACTTTGGAAAATAAATAAACACAAACAGATAGTTTATAAGTCTAAACTTTACCTTCTTCTGCTTTGTCTTTACTCTCTTCACCATCAGGTTTTGTTTCCTCTTCTTTTTTTAACAGCGCAGGGTCAATTTGTGTCTTCAGCAGAGCCAAAACTTCAGCCAAGTCGTTTCTATCTCTACAGGAAGAAAAGAATATAAATATAATCATGCCTTTATCAGAGTAAATAACACGAGATGTCTGCTTTTACAGAGAGCATTAGGATTTACATTTTATGTCACGGTGCCTGCAGCACGTTTCATCACTTCTGTCTGCTTACCTGACGATGCACTTCCATGACGAGCCGTCCAAGTCGTCCTGTTCCTCAACATAAAGGCGAACATTGTCGTCCTGGTCCAGTTGAAACCAGTACATCTGACCGTCTTTGTCCCGGCCGATTGGCTGCAGACGCATCTTATCTGGGTCCTCCTCATTGATGGCAGTTTTGAACTTCACATTTTCATCAAATTGACACTCGCACAAATACTGGAGACAAAAGAAAGGCACACAATGTTTTAAAATGACATCTACCATGAAGATGCACCGCTCATATTTTTAAGTAAAATTTAACTTTTATTTTGGTTTTATGAGTGAAAAAATAATAATTTACTACAGATTTTTTATCTTCCAAATACTGATACATATCATCATCAGATAATCCAGTATCAGTCAGGCTGTAATTCCTATTAATTTTTGAGATAATTTAGTTTGATGGTCAAAGCCAGGCCCCACTGAGAAAAACAGCAATTTAACGTTGATGAACACAAGAGCTGCTGGTCTACTGCTGCCTTCATCAACTTCTTTATTTGTGTTAAGTGACTTTGGTGTTTTAAAGGGTTGGTTCGGATTCACCAAAGTCACACAATAACACAAACTAACTGACTTATCGAGGCAGAGGTAGACCACCAGCTCTCGTGGTCAGGGAGCCACAATTACTGTTTTTGTCAATGGAGTCTGGTGCTTTGACGAGAGCATAGATGGAGAACTGAAACAGCTTCTCCACCCAGCCCTAATAAGAATATACAAATGAAACCTTGTCCTGTCCTGTTCAACAAGCTAACATTGCTCTTCATCAGCATCAAAACAAAGGGCCTTTTTCACAACCCTACGTTTTGACTTGTCGTAGCAGAAAAAGCGCAGGTAGACCTTAAATTCTTAACAGTGGCTCAGGTCCATTTATTACTTTCTTAGGCTGCAGCGGTGCCTCTTTCATTAAATTATTTTTTGTAACCCTTTTAAAGCTGCAGAAAAAAAGCACAATTGAAATATGTGAGGAAACCAGACTGCCATTTAAAAAAGCAAGAATCACAAAGCACAGTGAGCTTACTTTAAGTATCCCCGTCTTGCACTCCATCTGCAGCTCCTTGTATCCTTTCTGTTCGAGTTCCCATGCCCATGTTGTGTTGAACTCTTGACATATCTGCAAAGAAACAACACATTTAAATGAGCAAATAAATGCATTAATTAACTGAATTAAATACTTAACTTATTTTTGTCAAGATACAATATGGACTGCATCTTGGGGACTGACTCATTTACTGTGGTTAGACTTACCTTCACAAGATATTTCTCCCATCTGTCTGCTGACACCGACTTGCCAATCTTCCTCAGCAACTTGACGTGAAGATCGACCAGCAGCTTTGGAACTGAGGAAACATCAGAAAGACAGAGAGGTCACTCACAATTAATTACTATGCACAACTACAGCAGTTACACATTTATGTAGCAGTGATATTAGTGAAGTCTTAAGTGTAGAACTTGTAGTGGAATATTTTCACAGTGTGTGATGGTACTTTTACATATGTAAGGGATCTGAATACTTCTTCCACCACTGCATAAAAGACACTTTAAAAAAGTGGGGGAAAAAAACAACAACTTTTAACTAAAAGGGAGAACTACAGACATAAATCCAAACCAGACACATAAAGGGCTGCTACCATCTGCAGCTGAGGTACATAAAGGCCCCATTTGACACAGTTTGAGAATTTACAGTATTAATTAATTAACTAATTGTTATTAAATAAGATCTGGCACTGTGTCCCATGATAGCTTACCAATCAGCATTAGAAAACATTTTCTAAATATAACACAGATGTATAGCGCAAAAAGTATAGTATTTCTCCACTAAAGATAAGATAAGGTAAGATAAGATAAGACTTTATTAATCCCACACTGGGGAAATTGACATGTTACAGCAGATAAAGAGTCAAAAATAAGGGGGGAAAATAAAAAATTACATAAAAATAAAACTATAATTAAATCCATATACACTATATACACCTTTCACGTATACAGATTTGGTATGTTAATGATTGATAAATGTCAAGGATCACTGAAATACACACACTGTGTAATATTCAATGACTGAATATTACATACACTGAAAGCATTATATTTCATGTCTCCACCTGTTGGTGGACCACCATGATTAAAGTGTGCATGTATAATATGATGTTAATTCCACTACAGGAGAAACTTGATGATCACTACAATTATGAGGGGGGAAAACAGTGGCTATATTGATATCTGTATCAGCTATTGGCCAAATGAGTTGTTACATATTGGGATATCAGATATAGGCAAAAAATCCAATATCGTGCATCCCAAAATATAACATACAGATTTATAGCTGCAAAAGTACAGTATTTCCCCACTTAAAACAATGATAAGATAATATAAGTCTTTACTAAGCAGACCAGCTCAAGAGTCATTAAACAAGATATAAAAAAAGAAAAAAGGGGAAAAAAGCAACCGAGTGCTAAATATGATCAAAAGATGTCACTAAAATTCAAATAAGACAGAAATAAAATATAATAAATAAATATATAATCTATATATACAGTTTGTGTGCGGTATTTTTACTGTAAAATAAAGAAATATGTGAATATTATCACATCGGGAAATTGCACAGTAAAGTTACACATGTAAAAAAAAAAAAGGATAAGTACATATAAATGTGAATATTTATGATTATGAATACATTTATAATCTGAGGTCGTTGGAAGGTCGATCTGTATGATCGATAATAATAATAAAAAAATAATTACGATGGCCGGCTGGTGTTTAAAACACGTTAAGTGTGAGTTCAGTGTAACGGAGCAGATGTCAATATGAGGCGAATTATTACACACTCAATCAGGAAGACTTCAGATGAGGATGCGCATGCGCAAAGCGACTTTTAAAAAAAAAAAAAGTCAAGTAATCTATAATAAACAGCGCAACCGGAAGTAGAATGACTTTGCCTTTATATAAACGTACACGAAGATTTGTCAGTGGAGTTTAAATACTGGTATATGTATGGATATCATACAATATTAAAATGTGTCTTATAAATACTAAATGCAAAACGATAACATCAGTGTGTATTCTTCACGAATAGGATCGTGTTTAAAGCGCCATAAAAGCTGTATTTTGAAAGCGTCCGCCGGAAGTCCTCGTGGTTGCGGGTAACTCGACACGAGCAGAGCGAACCACTACATGGCAAAATATTTTAACTGTAAATAAAGTGCACAATCGCGTGCCCGTCACAGACGATGACATCTTCACACATTGATAATCACAATCCACGATGTGTTGTACGAACTATAGCGATCTTCCCTGCCTCGTAAACACTGTTAGCACCACACATTAGTGTCTGAGTGGTGTTACGAGCGTTAACAGCGGCAGATAAAGGCTGCTTGGAGAAAAATTAAGCCCTATTCAAAAGCTAAAAAGTGAGAGAAAACCTCGAATAATTCGGCGGGCTCACACCTGGATAATCATCTAATTATGCAAAGGCACATTTTCCACTTCGAACGGCAGCTGTGAGACGCAGTTAACTTCTATTTAAGTAAACACGAAGGTTAGAAAACCACACAATAACACACAACTAGCTAACATAGCTGCTAGCCTGCTAGCACGGTACCATTATTAATGCAATGGTTGGAGTCTCTCCTCCTCCCGTTGGCAGCTGGAGGTTTTCTGCCCTACCTGAGGATGTGTCCTGCAGATATCTCTCCAGCTGAGGAAAGGTGAGCTCCGGTAAGTCCAACAACGCTCCGTACCTCTCCAGGAACGAGCAAATCACGGCGTAATTTGGACACAAACCGGGGGAAGAACTCGCCGTTGCCGCCGAAGCAGCCATCTTTTCCACACCAGTGTCAAGCCAGCCGGAATCAAATAGAGTACTTCCGGTGTTAACAAAATAAAGCGTTATTTTATTTATTTATTTATTTTACATCCAGATTTTGACGCTGCATGACGGCGGATTTATTTTATTTTACTTTATATACTATGTATATATATATATATATATATATATATATATATATACATATATCTACAGAAGAAATGGCTTTGAATAAGTGAGCCCAGAT